GGGAATTTTGCTATATAGTCCATGCTGGACTTGAACTCACTGGGCAGCCCAAGCAGGGCTTGAACTTGTATTTCTTCTGCCACAGCTTCCTGAATGCTGGAATTGCAGTTATGTGCTAAAATTCTCAGCCATCCAGAAAAAAAAATTTTAAATAAATATCAGCTATTCATGTAAATATGCCACTGACAACTTGCCAGCCACACAGCTGCAGTATATAGTTCCTACCATGCCATCTTTCAGACTTCCTCTCCTCCATTCCCAGGAACACATTCCTCATTTCCTTCTGAGCCTTCACTATAGCATCCTTAAAGTCCAGGTTTCCATTAACAGTTGTGTAAAGATAATTGGCTTTTCTTTAAGATGATTACATTTTCTTTGTAATATTCCTCAAAATTCTTGCAACTTCTACTCACATCCCAGTTTCAAAATCTCAGACACATTTTTAACCCCAACACCCATCTTTGGTTGTGTTTTCCACAGTTTTTTACTATGGTAACTTTGATCCTGAAATATTAAATGGAAAATTCCAGAAATAAACAATTCATAAATGTTAAATTGCTCAAAATTCTGAGTTGCATGATGAGATCTCTTACTTTCCTGGTCCACTCCATGTGGAACATGATTTACCCCTGTACCCAGTGTCACCATGCTGCACACACTACCTGCCAGTTAGGCATAGAGTAGCTGACAATAAGTTGTCAGATTGACAATTGTAGTATCACAATGGTTGTGTTCAAGTAATCCTTATTTTACTTAATAAGAGCTCATAAGTACAAGCATAGTAATGATAGTAATGGGGATATGCCAAAGGGAAATTGTAAAATGCTTCCTTTAAGTGAAAAGGTAAAGGGCTGGGGATTTAGCTCAGTGGCAAAGCGCCTGCCTGGCAACCGCAAGGTTGTGAGTTCGGTTCCCAGTACCGGAGAAAAACCAAAAAAACAAAAAAAAAAAAAAAAAAAAAAAAAAAAAAAAAGTGAAAAGGTAAAAACATAAGATTTTTGGGGGGAGAGAAAACATATTCACAAATGTTTATTATAGTGTAGTGTAGTTTAAGTGCTCTATTCTGTTACTGTTGTTGCTAATCTCTTCCATGCCTAATTTATACAGTAAACTTTATCATAGGTATGCATATATAGAGAAAAAAAAGTACATGTGACATTTGCTACTGTCCATGGTTTCAGGCATTCACTGAGGATCTTGGGACACATCTGTGGAAAAGTAGGGGCTCCTGTATATGTTATGGCAGCAACCTATTTCTGTAAGCAAAATTTCTATTAATTTTTTGTTACCCTTTTATCACTGTTTCACAATTCATGAGATAATAAAGTTATAAAAAGAAAAGTTTTATTTAGGTTCACAATTTCAGAGGTTTCAGCCTATTGTCCCTTGGTCCTGTTGCTTTTGGGGCCTGTGGCAGGAGTGTGTGGTTAGGGAACCTGGCTGCTCTCTTCAAAGCAGCCAGAAAGCAAAGAGGGAATGGAGAGGCCAAGATCCCACACCCACAATAACTGAATTTCCCTTCTCCAACCCTATTTCCTAAATGTTCTACCATCTCCTTTCAGCACTACAGGCTGGGACCAAATCAGCAATGCTGTCGTCTTTGGGGAAAGTTAGATCCAAACTGTAGCAGTTTTTTATTGTTGTGCACTGTAATTTAGATCTGGAACATCCCCCAAAGCCCCATGTGTTAAAGGTTCATTCCCCAACTTGGTACTCCTATAAGGTGGAACTTTAAGATGTGGGGCCTAATGAGAATGTGTCCTTGAGGGGACAGTAGGACTCTACCTCTACTTTCCTTCCCTTTCAATTCTCAGCCATGAGGTTGAGGGTTTTGTGTATGCTGCCACTTTGCTGTGCCCCCTCACTGTAGGCACAAAAGTGACAGGGCCAACTAACCATGGACTGAAACCACCAAAACTGTGAGCCAAAAGCCTGTTCTCTTTACTGAGTGATTATCTCAGGTATTTGTTATGGTAATGGAAAGCTAGCTAATGCAGTGCATAACAAATTACCACAAACCTAGTGATGTAAATCATCACACATTTATTGTTATACAGATTCCATGGCATGATTTTCCATGGTCTCATTCAAGTGATATCAGCTGGCTACACACTCACTAGAGGCTCACGGGAAGAAACCGCTTCTGAGATCATTTAGACTTTTGGTAAAATTCAATTTCTCACAGTTGAGTGACTAAGTTATCCATTTGCTGTTGGGAACCACTCCCCATATACAAATCCCTGGTGGTGTGCACAGGTTCTGCCTATAAGCCACTCTGCAAGGGCTGGCAGGAAGATGTCCAGCACCAAATTCTCCTTAGGCCTTCAATCCCCAACTAGTATGTG